TTCATCCATCCATCAGTGACTGATGCTGGTTGAATTTTCCTTTTCTAGCTGTCTTTCCTTTTTCTTTTCACCTTGTTTTCCCTCTGGTCTAAGGATCTCATGTTTTGACTGTACTGTGGAGCAAACAACAACATTATTATAAAACACATGAAACCGTCTTGTAAATATACAGTACATATTACAAACACACACACACACTTACTACATTAGGGTGTTTTTCTATTTAAAAAGTCATAGCTTTACAACAAAATAATCCATTTCAGGCTGTACAACAAACACAGGTTTTTAAATACATCTCATTTTGCAGGATAAAAACCGAAACTGCTTTTAAAATCCATTTGGCACAGAAACCCTTGTTAGTTTGAAACACACATACCACCAGTTTAAAACCCACAGTTTGCAACCGAATACTTATCAAAAACCCCACATGCATTTAAAAGCCACATGGTTGTTGTGTCCCCCCAGCCATGTGTGTTTGGGTTAGTTAGTAGCATTCCCTCTCCCCAAGTGCCTCAAACCCCATTTTTAAAAACCCATCACATTATGCACAGTAAAAAAAACCCTGTTAGTTTGAAACAAACCAAGTACTTAAAAAAAAACAAAAACCCAAAACCTATGCCTTGCACAGGCCCCTCACACACACACACAAAACAGCAGCTTTATAAAACACACCAAACCAAGTTTGCAGCCATACACTTTTCAAAAACCCACATGCATTTAAAAGCCTGTTGCAAAAAATAAATAAATAAAGTTACCTTTCACTATGGGATCAAGTGTTGCAGGCACATGCTTGTTCTGTTCCCCCTCGTGTGTGTTTGGGCCTTCAGGTTCAAGAACAAGCAAAAATGTTACTTAGTATTACCCTAATCCCTATACAGCCTGTGGAATACTTTTTTCCCCTTTAATTCAACAGTATTAAGCACAACTATAGTTAAAATGGTTTTTACCTTGGCCTGGTGGTGAAATGCAGTTTAAAGTTACTGGTTCCATGCTAAACAGATCACACTGCAATAAACATAGGCACCATTATTTACTAAGACAGCCTGGGCAAAGAGTGGCATTATATAATATATAGTTTCAGAGTTAAAAACAGCAAGTCTTACCTCTTTTTGCAGTCCAGCAGCTATTCAAGAAAGTTTTCTGTTGAAAAGAACAAGCTCCAGCATACCTGAGGTTTTTAAACCATCTTAGCCCATTGTTTCCAACAGACTTCAACACAGTTGCTAACCGGTTAATTTAATCACCCCTCCCATAGCATTCCCTTTTGTGATCTGGGGTAGTGAAACCGTTTTGTCTGCACAACAGGGCTTCCGCCCCGCTTTAAGTTAAAATACATTTGTGGCTGTCTTACAGTATTAAACAGTACCCATTTCCAAGTGGGGGCCCTTTGCAGATATCAATGAATGTCTTGGGGGTTGGTTGTTTTTTAAAACATGTTTCTTTCATGCTTAAAGTTTGGGGGGTGGGGTTGTTGCCTAGAAAGAATGGCTCATAGCATTCAACCAACTCCTGGGCCATATTTAAACTGTCCAATAGAGTTCCACCAACTCCAGGGGTTATATTTAAACTGTCCAATAGCATCTGTGAATTCCTGAGGTTTAATTTCATTTCATATTAAGCAGAACTCACCATCCACCCCCACCCACTCCTTACTATGGGTGAACTCCCATCCTATAGCAAAGAGGGTAAGTAATTACAGTCACCCTGGCTATTCAGTGAGGGGTGTGTGTGTGGTTAAACCTGTTCAGTTCAACAGACTAAGGATAGCTCAGTGGTTTAAGCATTGGCCTGCTAAGCTCAGGGTTGTGAGGTCTTGAGAGGGCCACCCAGGGATCTGGGGCAAAATCAATATTTGGTCCTGCTAGTAAAGGCAGCTCTATGAGATAGGTATATCTCCATATTAACTCTATTGTCTGAACTAGCCTTGTTTGTTTTATTTAGGGTTACCATTCGTCCGGATTTACCCGGACATGTCCTCCTTTTGTGTGCTAAAAATAGCGTCCGGAG